CTCCGGCCGCTCCTGCCCCTCCAGGGGAGATGGAGGAGAGTCGGGCTGGAGGCAGAGAGGTGGGGAGGAGGCTCCAGCCACCGGTGGTGGGCGGAGGAGGAGCAAGCGAGGTGGGGGATGACAGGAGGAGAGGGACTAAATTGGCACCCCCCCTGCATGGCACCCGGGGGCAACTGCCCCCCTCACCACACCACTGACCACAACAAGCCGGGGTATCTCCTGACAACAAGGGAGGCCTTCTGACTCATTTTGAGAAAGTAGGATGATCAGCTAGTTATCTGTCCATGGACGCAAGAAGCCTGGGTTCGGGATGTGACTGTCTAGTCAATATCCGATAAGCAAATGCTTATCGGGTAGTCGACAGGATAGTCGATTAGTTGCTCCCCTCCCCCTTGCTGCCTCTGGGTACATCTAGACTACAGGCTTTTGTCGACAGAAGTTTTGTCGAAAGCTACTGTCGACAAAGCTTCTGTCGACAAAGAGCGTCTAGACTACATCCAGTTCTGTCGACAAAGCAAGCCGCTTTGTTGACATGACAGTGTAGTCGCAAAGGACAGTGCAGATGCAAGAACTCTGTCGACAAAAGGCGTTATTCCTCGTAGAATGAGGTTTACCGTCGTCGACAAAACTGCCAGGTTCTATCAACAGAAGTTGTTCTTGCAAAACTTCTGTTGACAAAAGCCCGTAGATGCAAAGGACAGTGTAGATGCAATAACACCTTCTGTCGATAGAACTCTGTCGCCAAAAGGCGTTGTTCCTCGTAGAATGAGGTTTACCGCCATCAACAAAACTGCTGAGTTCTTTTTTGTCGACAGAGTTCTTTCAACAGAAGGGCTGTGTCTAGACTGGCATGATGTTCCGCAAATGCTTTTAACGGAAAAGTTTTTCCGTTAAAAGCATTTACGGAAAAGAGCATCTAGTTTGGCACGGACGCTTTTCCGCAAAAGCACTTTTTGCGGAAAAGCGTCCGGGCCAATCTAGACACGGTTTTGCGCAAGAAAGCCCCGATCGTCATTTTCACGATCAGGGTTTTTTTGCACAAAACAATACCACGTTGTCCACACTGGCCCTCTTGTGCAAAAGCATTTGTGCAAGAGGGCTTTTGCCTGAACGGGAGCAGCATTATATTTCTGCAAGAACACTGACAATCTTAAATGAGATCATCAGTGTTCTTGCGGAAATTCAAGCGGACAGTGTAGACAGCTGGCAAGTTTGCGGAAAAACTTGACAGTCTAGATGCAGCCAAGGCGTTATTGCATCTACACTGTCCTTTGCGTCTACACTCTCATGTCGACAAAGCGGATTGCTTTGTCAACAGAACTGGATGTAGTCTAGATGCTCTTTGTCAACAGTATCTGTCGACAAAGCCTCTGTCGCTAAAAGCCTGTAGTCTGGACGTACCCTATGATTCTATGATTCTAAGTCCATGAAAGCAGCCTTTCACCTGCGATCGCGCCACAGCCCCACCAGTGGGCGCTTTGCTCCCAGAGCCGGAATCGTTGTTCCGTGTTGTCGGCATGCCCGACCATTGCGAACATGCGCCCATCGCTCCGTTCAGTAGGTCCTCTTCGGTCTCCTGAAAAGTCATAGGGCAGGTTCTTAAGGAATCCGTTCTGAAACATGTCGGGGACTGAAAGGGGATCGGGAACAGTCAACATGGATTCACCAAACTTGACCAAACTTGTCTTCTATGAGGAGATAACTGGCTCTGTGGATATGGGGAAAGCAGTGGACTTGATAGATCTTGACTTCAGCAAAGCTTTTGATAGTGTTCTACAGCACTCTTGCCGGAAAGTTGAAGACGTTTGAGTGAATGGATAGAAAGCTGGCGAAGTTGTCCAGCTCAACGGACAGTGATTAATGGCTCGGTGTCTAATTGGCAGCTGGTATAACGTGGCGTTCCCCAGGGTCGGTCTTGTACAACATCTTCATTAATGATCTGAATGAGGGGTTGGATTGCACCCTCAGCAAGTTTGCGGATGACACTAAGCTAGGGGGAGAGGTAGATACGTTGGAGGGCAAGGATCAGGTTGGACACATTGGAGGATTGGGCCAAAAGAAATCCGATGAGGTTCAACAAGGACAAACGCAGAGTCCTGCCCTTGGGACAGAAGACTTCCAAGTGTTGTTACAGGCTGGGGGCCGACTGGCTGAGTGGCAGCTCTGCAGAAAAGGACTTGCGGATGACAGTTCAGGAGACGCTGCTGTGAGTCAGCAGTGTGTTCTTGTTGCCAAGAAAGCTAACGGCATTTTGGGTGTGCACGAGGAGGAGCATTGTCGGCAAAGCAAGGGAAGTGATTCTATTCAGTACTGGTGAGGTCACTTTCAGAGCACTGTATCCAATTCTGGGCCCCCCACTACAGAAAGGAGGAGGACAAATTAGAGAGAGTCCAGTAGAGAGCACTAAAAACGTAGCATACAACCTACGAGGGATTTGGCTTATTTGAGCTACGGAAGAGAAGAGTGAGGGGGGATTTGAGAGCAGCCTTCAACTCCCCGAGGCGGGGATCCAAAGAGGATGGAGAGAGGCTGTTCTCAGTGGTGACGGATGGCAGAACAAAAAGCAACGGTCTCAAGTTGCAAGGGTGGAGGTCTAGGTAGGGTATTAGGAAAAACGATTTCCCGAGGAGGGCGGGGAAGCTCTGCGATGGGTTCCCTATGGAGGAGGTAGCATCTCCATCCCTAAGGGTGTTGTCTAGACTACCTGCCTCCGTCGACGGAGGCATGGAGATTAGACAGATAGGCAGAGGGAAATGAAGCCGCAATTAAAATAATCACGGCTTCATTTAAATTTAAATGGCTGCTCTGCTCTGCCGATCAGCTGTTTGTCGGCAGATCGGGGCAGTCTCAAAGTTATTTCGAAATAACTTTGAGACTGCCCCGATCTGCCGACAAACAGCTGATCGGCAGAGCAGAGCAGCCATTTAAATTTAAAGGAAGCCGCGATTATTTTAATCGCGGCTTCCTTTAAATTTAAATGGCTGCTCTGCTCTGCCGATCAGCTGTTTGTCGGCAGATCGGGGCAGTCTGGACGCGCCGCGGTCGACAAGGAAGCCTTTGTCAACCGGCGCAGGTATGCCTCATGAAACCAGGTTTACCTGCGCCGATCAACCGCAGCACATCAACCGCGGCACATCCAGACTGCCCCGATCTGCCGACAAACAGCTGATCGGCAGAGCAGAGCAGCCATTTAAATTTAAATGAAGCCGCGATTATTTTAATCGCGGCTTCATTTCCCTTTTTCAAATAAACTAATCTACATGCGCATGTCGTTTAGACGTACCCAATAGGTTTTGAAGGCCTGGCTTGACCATATCCTGGCTGGGATGAGTGAGTTGGGGTTGCTCCTACTTGGACAGAGTGATTGGATTTGGTGATATGGAGGGGAGAAAAGACCTTTAATTGCTCCTACCCTGCATGACTATTTACTGACGTGTCTTTCCTGGCAGGATTCAGGGCTGTTTTGATGCTTTGGAAAAGAGCTATGTAAGTTTTTTCTTGAGATTTTGCTACTATAATGTTTATTCACAAACAGCGGGCAAAACTCTGCTGCCGTTTTCCATGTGCCACTCTGCTATATAGTCGCCAGCGATCCCAGTGCAAACAGAACTGCCAGTGCAACGTTTTAAGCACAATTCCGCCCCTATTTAGGTCCTTTTCTTTCTTTTTTTCCAATTACACGACTGGAGTACCTGATTTCTGAATAAATGCACATTTTTTAAGTCACCCCAGCCAATGTTCCCTCTATTTTTTTCCAGCTGCGTGCGGGATAAATTTTATGATATGCACCGAGGCAGGTGTGGATGTGCACCACCAATAAAAACCCATGCTGCCAGCTGTAGGTGCTGTGGACTCTCTGCTGGGCATTTGACTCTCTCCTGGGTGACTGCCCACGCGCAATTTACAGGGATCACTGGTCTCGGTCCTCACTCACTCAATCAATCAGCAGAAAAATCTGACCTGAATATGCAAAATTCTGGTTGCTCTTTCTGAGTCAGCATTGTTCATCAGACGAACTGGTATCTACAGCAGAACGATTCTTCCTTCCGTCAGATTCTTGTCGATATCCGCCCGGTGGATCAGATTACACGCCCGTGTCGATTCTGCTGTGGTTGTAGAGGAGATGTGATAAAAAGTTCTGCACTCAAAACCACTTGCTTCCTGACAATTCAGACAGTCAGCTTTAAATTGATAATGGTCAAACCCTCATGCTTCAGCACTGAAAGCAACTTCGAACGGACAGGGGTTAGGAAAACATTGCCGTTATTCCGTATTTATTCACTTCCCCGTTTTTTCACATTCCTCTGAAGCATCTGGTGCTTGTCAGGGTCAAGGGGTATGTCTACACGACAGCGTTATTTTAAAATAGCTAATTTCGAAATAGTTATTTCAAAATATCTTACAGCCGCTCCCCGAGTTGCGAACGGTTGAATTACAACTGTTTGCATTTACGACCAAAGCACCCATGGAGCGGTCGTAAAGGCGGTACCCAAGTTACGAACGCAACCCACGCTTATATACAGCGCGGTCGCTATGTAACTCAGTGGGGTCCGAGTTACAACCAGATGGAGTTACGGCCACGTGTTTGGACCATAACTCGTTCGTAACTCGGGGAGAGGCTGTATTTCGAAATAACGCGTCTATTTTGGCCTTAGAAAAGGTTCAGAAAAGGGTGACTAAAATGATTCGGGGTTTGGCACGGATCCCATGTGAAGAGAGGTTAAATCGACTGGGACTTTTCAGTTTAGAAAATAGGAGACTGAGGGGGGATAGGATAGAGGTCTATAAAATCATGAGTGGTGTGGAGAGGGTGAATAAAGAAAAGTTCTTTATTAGTTCCCATAATAGAAGAACTAGAGGATACCAAATGAAATGAATGGGTAGCAGGTTTAAAACTAATCAAAGAAAGTTCTTCTTCACACAGAGCGCACCGTTAACCTGTGGAACTCCTCGCCGGAGGAGGCTGTGAAGGCTAGGACTATAACAGAGTTTAAAGAGAAGCTGGATAATTTCATGGAGGTTAGGTCCATAAAAGGCTATTAGCCAGGAGATAGAAATGGGGTCCCTGGCCTCTGTTTGTCAGAGGCTGGATATGGATGTCAGGAGACAAATCGCTTGATCATTGTCTTCGGTCCACCCTCTCTGGGGCTTCTGGTGCTGGTCACTGTTGGCTACTGGGCTAGATGGACCTTTGGTCTGACCCAGTACGGCCGTTCTTATGTCTACACACTAAATGCTTTTTGCTATTTCGAAATAGTGCGTCCACACTGCTTGGATGCTGAATCGCATTTCCCTTGTGGCCAGGGCAGCCAGCACGGCACCCTGGGAAGGGCTGGAGGCCCCCTATTTTGAAATAAGCGACTCCACAGCGCTTTTTTCGACATAGCAATTTCAAAATTGCCGCTATTCCTCGTGGAATGAGGTCTACCAATTTCGAAATAAGCCCTCCGCTATTTCGAATTAATTTTGAAATTGCAGTTGGCTTGTGTAGCTGCTAGGAAAGTTATTTCGAAATAACTTTGCTGTGGAGACATACAAGGAGAGGGGAATGGGCCCGATAGATCCTTGGCTTGATCTATTAAGGCAGAACTACTCAATCGGTGGACATTTGGACACCCCCCGCCAGATTGAATGGACTGCAAAATATTTTATTTACTTTTTATTATTATTGTTACTGAAGTGTAAAAAAGGTTTCTCTGACGTCTGGACCCGGACCAAGCAACGTAGACTGTGCCAAAAAAAAACCCCCCAAGTAGCTTTAAATAGAATTAATCTGTTCAGAGCAAGCACAGGGCAGTAAGACTGGATGTACAACTTTTGCAAGGGTCGCTAAGGTGCGGCTCATCACCGCAGAAAGTGCAGCTCGCAAAGCCTCCCCCGTACCGCTACAAAGGGCCCTATGCTCACCGGCTGCAGGGGAGCCGTCCAGCGCGGCGAAGCAAAAAGGCGCCGGCAAGATGTGGCCAAAAAACCAAACCAGATTTTTCATTTAAAGGGGCAACTTCTTTTTTTTTTTTTCTCACCAACTTTTTTCCCTTGGCTCTTTGTGCTATGTCCACCATTATTTTGGCTCGTTACCTGTAACGGGTTGGTCACCCCTGAACTATTGCATAGCGAGAGCCTTCCCAAATGCAAAGTCCATTCACGTCAATGTCATGCTCATCGGATTTTTTTTCAATAGTGCATTTCGTGAGTTCGGCTGTTGAAATCGGAACGCTCCCGGGGTTGTCATTGTTGGGGTCTTAATCTACAACGGGATTGTGGGGGCTCAAGGTTATTTTTGCAGGGGCAAGATTGCAGTATAGCTACCCAGTGCTTTTTTTGTGATGGTACGCACCGGTACGGTGTACCATCACCTTTTTTGGTGAGTACGCGCCACTTTTCTCCGGCATAGCCCCCAGCCGGCCCTGGGAGAACTCGTGCCAGACGGAAGCCTGCTCAGGACACGCAGCAATTAAAGGGGCCGCAACCGCATTTCGGCCCTGACCTCCCACGCTTTGAATTTTTTTGCTCGACAAAACCATTGGCAACGCTAGTACCGTCACTTTTTTTTTTTAACAAAAAAAGCACCGTTGCTCCCCATTCCGCTGCTGGCAGGCAGCAGGACGGCCGTCAGAGTAACAGAATGGTAGTTGCTGAGCCCAGCTCGGAAGGTAGAGCACCACAACCGGCAGCAAAGACCTAAAGATGGCATAATATGATACTGCTACCCGTCCATGTGCATTGCTGCCCACAGAGTTAGGTCATCAGTCAGCAACCACCATACACGTAAGGCTGATAATACCCCAATTCCCCCCCTAAAATAACCTTGCAACCCCATCCCACAACTCCCTTTTAGGGCAGGACCCCCAATTTGAAAGACCCTGGTCTCCCCCATAAAAATCAGTATCGTACAGGATAAAAGCACACCAGAAACCAGATTTCACAGGGGGGACTAAATTGCATCACCTGTGCCGTGTTTTCCAGGGCATTCAACTTCTGGCTCCTTTGAAAAACGTATCAGAGGGGTCGCTGTGTTAGTCTGAATCTGCATACACAACGAGAAGTCCGGTGACACCTTATAGAGTAACCGAAGTGTTGGAGCATAAGCTTTCGTGGGCAAAGACCCACTTCGTCAGATGCATGGAGTGGAAATTCCAGAGTCAGGTATAAGGTGTGCTTATATATATATCTGCCTCTGGAATTTCCACTCTATGCATCTGACGAAGTGGGTCTTAGATTTATTGGAGCATAAGCTTTCGTGGGCAAAGACCCACTTCATCAGATGTTTTTTTTTTTAGAAAAACGTGTGTGTAGTTAATAAAACTGGCCACAAGGTGTCACTGATGTCTCACCCACGTGCATCCGAATTAGCCATAAAAGCCTTGATTCGCAAAGGATTGAATGTTTATTCCTTCATTACTTCAGGCGCTTAGATTTTGACGATGCTTATTTTCTCTTCCAGCTACAGATGGCTGTCCTGGCAGTAAGTCCTACGGGAAAGGAATGCAAGGTGTTAAACCAATGTCCCTTTTTGAGTATCTGTGTCTGTACTCAGGGACCATTCAAAAGCTTGTGGCAGTGGGGTTACCCTCAAGTGAGCCTCTCTTTTCACCAGATAAATGCTCGTTTTTTCAGGTTTCATGGGCACAGTTGCTAGATGCATCTTTTGCCTGCATCAGCGATGCACAAAATTCATCCTTAAATCACCCAAGCGGTGTAGGAACAGTTTGCTGGTATAGGAACACCAGGGTATTATTAGGATTGTGAATAATCATTTAATTAGTTAACTGGTTGAACGACTCAAATTGGAACGTTTGACCAGTTAACTGCCCACCTGGCCTAGCTTGCTCCGGCATGACTGGGCTGGGGGGTTTCTACAGGTCAGAGTCAGACAGATCTGGGTCAGGGCACGGGCATAGCCTCCATCTGCCTGTCCTGCACTGCTGGGGCCAGGGCCACTTATACTATAAGCTGGCTCCCGGTGTGCACTGGAGCTGGCTGCTACCCAGTGCTGTGAGAGTAAGAGTATGCGCCCCAGCAAGAACTGGCTGAGCTGCGGCAAAAGCCAGCAAGGAGCTATTTAAAAAGGTGGCAGGGACCCAAGTTGCAATAGGACCCTATCTGTAAGAAATTTAAAGTTCCTTTTACCCCCGAGTAGAAGCCTCTGCAGAGCCCACAGTGCAGGGCGGCAGCCGGCTCCCTGCCGATATACACCAGGAGAGAGGGATTTAACCGTTTAACCCTTCAGCCCTCAGGTTTCTGGCAAGTCATCCTTGGGGCCCCGAGTGTTGCGAGATTGTGCACTAGCGCTTACCTTTCTGAAACATTTGTAGATAGTCCCGACACCAGGGCCAACATCCGCGTAATGAATCCTCATGACAAAACAACCAGGCGTCCTGCACCTGTGGCCTGCACTGTGCAGGGGGTCAGACTAGATGATCATAATGGTCCCTTCTGACCTTAAAGTCTATGAATCTATGAATCCTGTGGCACCTTAAAGAGTAGCAGATTTATTTGGGCCTCAGGTTCCTTGGGTAAAAACCACTTCGTCAGATGCGTGGAGGGGAAACCACAGAATTCTGAAAAATAAGAGACAGCGCTTTATTTTAAGGGCCATTTTAGGGAAACACCCTTTCCCGTAGTGTATCATGTATTTTTCCTCTCCGCTGTATATTTCTATTGCCCTCCAATATACAATGCAATTATCGTTTTATCCGTCAGTTTGATCATTTATCAATTGAATGTTTCAAATGGGTGAAACATCCCTTAAACAAAAAGACGGGTCGTCACCCGGATCCCAACCCAGGACTGCAGACTTGTCGTATCCTGGTTTCTTAAAGGCATGATAGAGATTCAGTCGGTTGATTCATTCTCCCGGCTACATTTGATCAGAGAGAAAGACGCATTCACTATCCTTTCTTAAAACAGATTTACACCAACCCCAAGGAGCCACAGGTAAGGAGGAGTCAGGATATACTTAGGAATTGCAGGGGTGAGTATATTCGGAATGGGGTTCAATTCTGTCTTTATGTAACAGGGACGCATTGTAGAGGTCTATAAAATCACGACTGGTGTGGACAAACTGAATAAGGAAAAGTTATTTATTTATTTGCACAATGTAAGAACGTGATACCATCTACATGTTTTGTTAGTCTATAAAGAGCTCCCAGACCTTTTGTTAAAACAAAAGGAAAAACTATGTAGCACTTTAAAAACTAACAAGACGGTTTAATAGGTGATGGGTTTTCGTGGGACAGACCCACTTCCTCAGATCATATTCTGGAAGAGAATTGGCATGATCATATATACCAAAGGAATGCAATGAAAAACGTGAACGCATTATTAAACGGACAAATCAGATTTAGTACAGAAGGTGTTTTTTGTTTGTTGTTTTTTTATGTTTATCCTGCAGAGACTAACTCAGCTACCCCCTGAAGCAATATAAGAATGAGGGGTCACCCAATGAAATGAATAGGCAGCAGGTTTCAAACAAACCAAAGGAAGGTTTTCTTCACTCAGCGCACAGTCAACTTGTGGAACTCCTCGCCACTGGAAGTGAAGAAGGCTAGGACTTGAACAGGGTTCAAGAAAGAGCTAGATAGATTCATGGAGGTTACGTCCATCAATGACCATTAGCCAGGATGGGTAGGAATGTGTCCTTTGCCTCCGTTTGTCTGGAAATGGGTGATAGGAGAGGAATTACCTGTTGTGTTCCCTCCCTCTGGGGCATCTGGCATTGGCCACTGGCGGCAGACAGATTACTGGGCTGGATGGATCTTTGGTCTGACCCAGTCTGGCCATTCTTATGTTCATAATGCATGCCTGTCCTTTGCCAAGAAGGGTGCATCATGGGAGATGCAGTCCTACTGGGGAGCTATTCATTTCATTTGGTGACCCCTTGTTGTTATATTGTGGGAATAAGTAACTAACTTTTTTCCTTGTTTCCTTTTTCCACACCAGCCGTAATTGTATAGAAAATAGGAGCAAGAAGCAATTCTTATGGGACACTGCGAAATTGACATGTTTCTGTCAACCCGAAGGGTTGTGGGCTTTTTGAAAAAGAAGTAGACACTTTTTAAGAAAAAAAAAATTCGTCAAAACCCCAAAACCCCATCGAAAACAACAGCTGGGTGCAAATGTTTTGACCAACCCTAATCACAGCATCGCTGTTGGAAGCTCTACTTACCATGCCATTTGCAATACGGCCTCCTGTTTTCAGTGGCTCCTGATTTTTCACCCCCCGCTTCCTTTTGAATCGGAGCTTCTCAGCTTTCGTCTCAGCCCAACCGTGAATTTTTATTGGCTGCTTCTTTCAAGAACGTGTGGCCAAAACCTGCAGAGGTTTTTTGAGTTCTAGGGTCTGTCTACACTTGCACCCTCTTTCGAGAGAGGGATGCAAATGAAGACATTCGAAACTGTAAATGACGCCGGGATTTAAATATCCCGCACTTCATTTGCATAATCACGTTATGGCGCTCTTTCGAAATAGCGCTATTTCGAAATAAAACACTCTTGTGTAGTCGCGTTATTTCAAGAAAAAACCCTTCTCTCGAAATAACTGATAAACCTCCTTGTATGAGGAATAAGGGTTATTTCGAGAGAAGGGTTTTAACGGCGTCTTAACAGCATCTGTTATTTCGAAATAGCACTATAATGCGATTATGCAAATGAAGCACAGGATATTGAAATCCCGTGCTTCATTTGCAATTTCGAATGTCTTCGTTTGCAGAGCTCGACAAACTATGTACTCTACTTACCCGTGGTGAGTAGATTACAACCCAGAAGAGCCAGGTTTGGGTGCTCTGCACATGCGCAGATCGCCGGACAGCATGGCTGGCGAGTGGAGCTCGCCGCAGCTTGGCAAGCCCTGTTCATTTGCATCCCTCTCTCGAAAGAGGGTGCAAGTGTCGACATACCCTTAGCTAGAGCCTCATTAGCAATTTGATCTCCCGACAGGTATAAGAATAGATACCCGAGAGTTTCCTGCACAATCTTTTGGGCTTTCTTTGGGAACACATTACCAAAAGAACTTGTTTTTCCCTCCCCTTTTTGAATGTTTAGAGAGTGACAGAGCTGTATCAGTTCAAATTCAAGTATACCAAGGATGGACCCCAGATGGACATCCTCAGGTAACGGTTTTGTTTCATTTCTGAAAAATGCACCGGGCGAAATGTGCTTTATCAAAGCATTTTTAAAGCAAAATCTACCCCGTGTTATTATGGAATACCCCCTCTTTATATCAAAGGAAAAACTATGGAGCACTTTGAAGACTAACAAGATGGTTTAATAAGTGATGAGCTTTTGTGGGCCAGACCCACTTGCTCAGATCATACTCTGAAAGGGATTTGGCGTGACCATATATACCAAAGGAATACAATGAAGAAAGTGAACACATTATTAAATTGACAAATCAGATTTAGAACAGAAGGTGGGGCGACGGAGAGGGAGGAAGGAAATAGCTGTTTATAAGTCAATTAATGGCTTAATCAGGGGTGATAAGTACTAACAGTAGCGGAGAAGCTGTCTTTGTAACGTGAAAGGTAATTAGCAAGGCTCGACAAACTGCGGCGAGATCTACTCGCCAGCCCCGCGCCATGCATGCGCCAGACCGGCACTGTACATGCGCGCAGCACCGGTGAACGGGGCGCACGGAGCAACCGGCGGAAATCTATGAGTAGAAACAGCGGTTTGTCAAGCTCTGGTAATTAGTATCTTTGTTAAGGCCCGTTCGTAAAGTGTCCAATTTAAGCATGAAGGAAAGTTCTGAAGTTTCTCTCCGTAATCTGGTGTTAAAGTTTCTTTGAAGTAAAATGCGGTCGTTAAGACTATGTCTAGGTAGGTTGAAATGCAAACCGACAGGTTTTTCCTTGTGACGATGTCTGATGTCTGATTTGTGGGAATTAATTCTTTATATATGGTCACGCCAATTCCCTTTCAGAATACGAGGAGTCCTGTGGTACCTTATAGACTAACTGAAGTGTTGGAGCACAAGCTTTCGTGGGCAAAGACCCACTTCGTCAGATGCGTGTGACTGCCCATGGGAGCGAGTTGCAGCCATCATATTGTCCTGCTTCTCCTTAGTCTTTTAGGGAGTTTAGCGTTATATTGAATTGGCTTGGAGTTAGTGTGTTTGCTTGGTACGTGTTAGTTCAGCTTGCTGCTAAAATAACTGCAAATTAAAGCCATTTCTTTTCAGCATGTCTTGCCTCATTCCCAAGAGAGTGGAGAACTGCTGGATTAGCATGGGGTGAAACTTAGGGCATCCATCATGTTTCAGTTAAAACAGGACGGGCTTGAACGTAACCTCCTGGAGTTTGCACGACACGTGATTCTCAGCCAATGCTCTTCGTTGCTTAGAGGAAAATTATCCCTACTCGAGTAGGTGAAAGGCATTTGTCTCATGGCTCCTGATGCTCAGCTTAGTCATGTACAAACAAGTGAATCACAGCGCTTGCATAGTCAAATGTATTATCCCAGCCACAATATCGGTTCCCTTGTAAATTACACCGTTCTTCACTCGGGATCGCTGTGTTCCCTGTCCCAAGCCTGTGTTAGTTCCCTATTCATGCTAGGACGGCATAAAAGCACCGTCACGCTGTTACAGGAATGCAAGACAAAGCAGCGGGAGCGGAATATTTTTAATTAGGGTTTGGCCACGAACGGCCATCGGAAATGATTCCGTTGCTCTTTTGTGTTGGCGGCAGCCCCCAAATGAGGGTGAGTAGTGACGAGGTCAAGAAAGGCAGCATTCTGCTGATCCGCAAGCTGTACCTCTTACTTCAGCACCTTGGCCCCCTGCCCAACGACGTGACCCTGACCATGAAACTCTTCTACTACAATGACGGTAAGCAGAGGACGGTTTGTGATGGGGAACGAAGGAGGGAGAGGTGAAACGTTGGACCCAGAAGGGAGTTCAATGATTAGAGGGGGTGACATATGCTTTTGAAGGCACTAGTTGCAAGCTGTGAGAAATACAGCTGGGGCCCGGAGAAAAGACTCGTTCTTTCCCTCAGAACGAGGAGCAGACATACATGGTCAAGTTGGTCTTTCTCTAGACCAGCGTTTCTTAAACCGAGGCGCACCAAACAATATATTTTTAATGAGGAACATCAAGGATTTTTTGTTGAGCAAAAATAAAGAAAGAAATAAAGAGGCCGGAGAAAAGTTATTGAGCAAAAGAAAAAAAAATCGCCTGCCCCTTTAAGGGCGGCCATTTTGAACTCTGTTGTTCTCGGAACACAGTTTAAGAAACACTGTGCTAGACCAGTGGTCCCCAACCTCTTGGGGCTGCCAGGTGCCCAGGAAAGGGGCCTCTCACACGCTGGGCACCCAGGGGTGGGGCCACCCATACACTGTGTGCCCGGAGCTGGTGCCACAACTGTGCTGCACGCCCAGAGGTGGGGCCGCCCGTATGCCACACACCCGGGGCTGGAACAGCTCATGTCCCATGTGCCTTGGGGCAGGGCCACCACCACCCATGAGCTACATGCCCAGAGCAGGCTCCTGTGCCACGTGCCCAGGAGCCGGCAGCGCCCATGTGCCGCGCGCCTGGGTCAGCACCGCCCATACGCCGCACGCTCGGGGTGGCACAGACCTCATGCTGCGCACGCAGGGGTAGGACTGCCTAACTGCTGCATGCCCGGCACCACCCATGCACCCAGGGGCTGGCACTGCCCATGCGCCGTGTGCCCAGAGGCGGGACTGGCCCTGATCACTCGGCAGGCGCACAGAAATGGCCCGGCGGGCGCCATGGCACCCATGGGCACCACGTTGAGGACCACTGCCCTAGACGGTGAGTTTAATATGGCATCTCACGGTCGCAAGTTTATTCTCTCTCGGAGCTTCCAGATCAAGTGTGCGCTGTTCACAGACTTTGAAGCCGGAAGAGCCCGTTGTGATAACCCAGTCTGACATCTCGCCTAATAGCTCATAGGACAGACTGTTAATTGTTTCTATCAGGGTGCGACTTCCCCGTGCCTAAACTTGAAATAAGATACACAATTTGTGCGTTTTATTTCAAATCGATTTCAAAATAGCTCATTTTGAAATATGGCGCATGTATACCGCGCCAGCTTTTGAAATAACGCGCTATTTCGCGCCATCCCTTATCCCTCATGCAACGAGGTTTATCGGGGATGGTGAAATCACACACCCGTTAATTCGAAAAATGTTTCGAAATAACAGGTGGCTTGAGTAGATGCAGGAGAGCCGTGCAGGGTAGACGTACTCTCAGAGATTAGGCAGGATTTCAACTTGCGTACAAACCAGGAGGTCTCCGCTAGAGACCCAAGCCACTGTAAGTTGACACGTAAACCGTTTTTTTCTCCCCCCTCCACAAATGTGGATGATTTAGAAGCTTCAGGGGGTAGCCGAGAAGAAGTGGTCTGTGCCCATGAAAGCTCATGATACTATTAACGTTTTTAGTTAGTCTATAAAGTGCTACCGGACTATTTGTTATTTTTTAAAGTTTATCCTGGACAGACTAACTTGGTGGTTGATCCTGCTTTGGGCAGGGAGCTGGACTCGATGACCTCCTGAGGTCTCTTCCAGCCCTAGGGTTCTATGATTCTATGAAACGTACTCTTCTGTCTGAGATTAAACGGGTCTCTTCCGGTCTTCACCAATAATAAAGATTCTGCAGATTGGATGCTGCCCAGTTGCCCCTCCACAATCTCGTTGCCTGCACCTGAGTTAGAAGGCGAACATGCGGGGGGAATATGAAGATAGTGGGGTTATACAAGTATGGGTGGGCACCTGGGACTGCAGAAAAGTTTGTGGAAGCTTCTCCTGCAGAAGTAGTGATATCTCGGGATGGATGTTTCCTTCAAACCCTGATTGAATCTGTCCAGAGCCCCACATAACTATTTGAGCGAGTTCCTGGATTGGTCTGTAGTTGCAGATTCCAGAGGTTTAGAATTTAGCCTATCAGCTGCAGCCCTCTTCCCTGTGCAGTTACTCCAGATGATTACCAGCCCCCGGGTTTTAAGGAAGACAGCAGCCCAGAGAGCCTGCTGTTTGATGGAGACCCTGTCAACCTGAAAGTCGGGTCCATCGCCACTGGATTTCACCTCCTGAAAGTCAGAGTGACAACCGAGAGCAAGAGGATGAGGGAGTTGGGAAACAGCCTTGTCCAGGAGAACGGCCCCACGGAGATATCCCATCAAGGGCTCGATTGTGTCGAAGAAGAAGAGGGTAGGACCAAGGTAAGGCTTCACGTCGCCACGGCCCCACGGAGATATCCCATCAAGGGCTCGATTGTGTCGAAGAAGAAGAGGGTAGGACCAAGGTAAGGCTCCATGTCACCAGCAGTTATGGCAGTAGGTTAGATAAATGTCTATCAGGGATGGTCTAGACAGGGCTTGGTCCTGCCGTGAGGGCAAGGGATGGGACTGGAAGACCTCTTGAGATCCCTTCCGTTTCTAGTATCCTATGATTCTGTAGACATCTACCAGGGATGGTCTAGACAGGGCTTGGTCCTGCCATGAGGGCAGGGGACGAGACTCGATGACCTCTCGAGGTCCCTTCCAGTCCTAGTGTTCTATGATTCTCCATCCCTACAGCCGAATTCAAGTTCAGAATGGGTGATTGTCCATCTAAGAAGTTTTGGTGTGTCGGGCTTTATTTTGGAGTGCTTGCCTACATGTATGGCACAACGGGGTATAAATGTACCATAACCAACACTTGCTGCATCCTAACGGGCCCTGTGGACCTTACTGCTACACACTGGAAGCTCCATAGTGTACTCTCTGGCATACTGCTGTCAGGGTGTGCTAGGGAACGTTTCATCCCGGGCACGCTCGTGTGCTGTAGATTTATGCTACGGCTTTAGGTGTGCAAAGTCTGGGTAAAAAAAAGCCGTTAGACGTTGTGTTTTGTGTCAGGTGGTTCAAGGCATGTAGCATTTTCGTTACAGAACCATGCTCCGCCCATCAGAGTAGACCCAAGTCAAAACAGGAAGAGTGAAACTGACTCAGATCCAGGCTGCACATACGAAGCATCGATTCTGCACCCTCCCGACACAGGTAAAAGTCCTGCCTTAAAAACCAAAGGCTCCTGAACATCCATGAATGATGCAACCAGCGCCGGCCCATGAGTATAGGCCGACTCGGCCGTCGCCTAGGGCGCTGTCTTCAACAGGGCGCCCAATGATGACATCACGCCATTGATGACCGTGGAGGCGGGGGCGCCGATCACGTGTTCCGCCTGGGCCTCCAGCTGCCGCAGCCTGCCTCGGGCTGCCCCTGGATGCAACACACGTGTTTCCCTGGCTGCGCAGAATTTTTTCCGGGGCGGTTTAGTATTGTCGAGCCGTTGAAATGAAGAGCTGAAAGGGTTTTCCACGCCCGCGAACCGATCTCGTAGCTTATTTCGAGTCTGTTTCAATTTGGCGCTTATGTCGTCATTTGGCGCTGTCTACAGAGCATCAGATTTCGAAATAAAGCGCTTTTTCGAGCCTTCCCTTACTTCTTGGAGAACGAGGTGTACAGGGCTCACACTAGCACATCCGCAATATTTCAAAATAGTGGCTGCGTGCCAAAGACGTGGGGTAGCTATTTCGGGCTACCTCTGGCATCCGGAAATAACTTTGCTGTGTAGACATACCCACAGGGATCGGATGCGGCCATCCAGTGTAAACCCATCCCTGAGAGGTTGTCTAATGCAGCGTTTCTCAACCTTTTTTATAAAGTACCCCTTTAAACAAAAATTATAAGTAGAGCTTGATGAACGGCGGCGAAAACCGCTCACCAGCCCCGTATTGCGCATGCGCGCACCGCGAATGAACAGGGTGCGCGGCTGAAATCTACTTGCCACAGGCGAGTAGATTGTGTTGTTTGTCGAGCCCTGATTATAAGTACCCCCAGTCCCTATCGTTTTCAGGCACATAATTTTTTTCTATCATCTCAAGACATTTGTTTAAACATAGCCGGGCGGGCAGTGAAATATTTGGGTGTAAAAGGTATAAAAATAATAAAACGCTGTAAAGCTTAAAACAAAAATTCAGTTTTCTCCAAATTTCATTGTGTTGATGCATCCCCCAGATTTCTCTTGCGTACCCTGAGGGTACCAGTACCACTGGTTGAGAAACACTGACCTAGAGGGCAGTGGAAATTTCCCATTGAGTCATTCCATTGTGGCAAGTACATGTGTGTACTGGTTCAGTAGCGTCTACTGACGCAGATAAATGTATTCCTTAATACTTTGGCATATCAAATGGGTCTAATATTTCATGGAGGTTAAATTACATAATCTACATTTATAACATTCCTGTTGTTCTCTGTTGGCACGTCTAAACTACGTTTCTTTTTCCGAAAGAGGATATGCAAATTCCACGGGATCTTTTGAAAGTGAAAGTACCGTACTTTCGCGAATATAACCCGTGGGTTATGCAAAGTGTTACATACCTGCCCCCCGTGGGCTATACTCATCCACGTGTAATACAGGGGTTTTTTTTTTACTGAAAGGAAGACAAGACTGACTCTTACTCGAGAAAAGCAGCATATTTTAATTTAATAACAGAGGCAGTTATATTAAAATTTTTGAAAGTGAAAGTACCGTACTTTCGCGAATATAACCCGTGGGTTATGCAAAGTGTTACATACCCGCCCCCCGCGGGCTATACTCATCCACGTGTAATACACGTGTTTTTTTTTTACTGAAAGGAAGACAAGACTGACCCTTACTCGAGAAAAGCAGCATATTTTAATTTAATAACAGAGGCAGTTATATTAAAATTCCTGAAAATACATTCAAATTCATTCGTTTTCAAGCTCCGCTTCTTCCTTTCTCCACTCCCGAACAGACTTTTCTATGCAAAGTGTTACATACCCGCCCCCCGCGGGCTATACTCATCCACGTGTAATACACGTGTTTTTTTTTTACTGAAAGGAAGACAAGACTGACCCTTACTCGAGAAAAGCAGCATATTTTAATTTAATAACAGAGGCAGTTATATTAAAATTCCTGAAAATACATTCAAATTCATTCGTTTTCAAGCTCCGCTTCTTCCTTTCTCCACTCCCGAACAGACTTTTCACTCACTCAGTATTTTCTCCCTGCGGCTCTGTTCCCATTGTCCTTTGCAAATGCCACTACACACAATTTAAAATCGGCTGTGTAGGATTTGCGCTTAGACATATTTAGAAGGTTTAAAAAGTTTAAAATACAAGTGAAAACCACTGAAGGAATAAATGAATGGAGAAATGGTGTGGTTCAAAGGGGTTGTATACCAGCGAGAAGGGTTGTAGCCTACTTAGTGCTTGGCTCATTAACACTTGATTACAGGTGCTTTGCATTAACATTACCCGCGATTTATCTATACATATAGATTTATCTATACATATGCGCGGGGTATAAAAGACTTTTTTTACTCAATCAGAAAGCCGCGGGTTATACACAGGTGCGGGTAATACTCGTGTGTGGGTTATATGTGCTAATTTATGGTAGTCTGGACGCGGGGGTTTTTCTGGGGAAAAAAACCCTTTTTCGAAAAAAACACATAAACTTCTCTTTTTAAGGAAGAGTGGTTTTTTCGAAAAAGGGGTTTTTTTCCCCCCAAAAAACCCATGTCCAGACTACTTTCACTTTCGAAAGACCCGCTTCGAAAAAGCGATCGGAAAAAGATATGCAACGAAAATTCTACGTCGACTAGACGTAGCCTGGGTAACTACAGGCGGACATTACAACTCGCAAATATATGTTAAAACTGAACAAATGCGAAAATCCACCGCACAGTCCTGGTCTTAATCCAACTTTAGATCCTGCATATTGGGGTGGGGAAAGCTCAGGTCCACGGGCCAGATATGGGCCCTGGCTTGCCTGCACCCGGCCCCTGAGGCTCGGAGTGAACCCGCAATGGTGCACCCAAAATCTACTAGCTGGCGCACCCAAAATCTATTAGCTTGGGCCCTCCACAGCTCTGGTGTGCGGGGGAATATTTTGCTTCTCTCTTGTGTGTGGCCCCTGACCGATTTTTCTGTGGGTCAGTGGTCCCTTACCCAAAAAGGTTCCACACCCCTGCTCTAAATTTATACATAGCTTTTCACACTCTCAAATATAATTAGTGAAATACCCCCATGTAATGGGCAATTCAGTAAATACAGCCAGTCCCCGAGTTACGAATTAGATCCCTGAGTTACGAAAGCTCCCATGGAGCGGTTGTCAAGGTAGTTCCCGAGTTACGAACGTGACCCACATTTATGAACAGCGCGGTCGCTATGTAACTCAATGGGGTCCGAGTTACAAACAGATCGAATTACGGCCAAGTGGTTGGTCCATAACTCGTTCGTAACTTGGGGAGAGGCTGCAAGCATTTTAGTCCTTTAAAATATTAAGGTATACATGTATGGATAAGCGCTGGTATAAGTCATTTATTGCACACCGCAAGGAGAATCTACCATAGCGCATTTGTTTGTACAAAATAACCCCAACTATACGTACAGTGTGATGGGGTCTAATTTGTCTACGACAAATCAGGAAAGAGATCTTGGAGTTATCGTGGACAGTTCTCTGAAAACTTCCACACAGTGTGCAGCGGCGGTCAAAAAGGCAAATAGGATGCTAGGAATTATTAAGAAAGGGATAGAAAATAAGAGACAGAATATCTTACTGCCCCTGTATAAAACTATGGTATGCCCACATCTTGAATACTGTAACAGATGTGGTCTCCTCACCTCAAAAAAGATATTTTGGCTTGGAAAGGGTTCAGAAAAGGGCGACTAAAATGATTCGGGGTTTGGAACGGGTCCCATATGAAGAGAGGCTAAAACGACTGAGACTTTTCAGTTTCAAAAAGAGGAGACTGAGGGGGGATATGATAGAGGTCTATAAAATCATGAGTGGTGTGGGGAGGGTGAATAAAGAAAAGTTATTTATTAGTTCCCATAATAGAAGAACTAGAAGACAGCAAATGAAATGAAAGAGTAGCAGGTTTAAAACTAATAACGTTCTTCTTCACACAGCGCATAGTCAATGTGTGGAACTCCTTGCCGGAGGAGGCTGTGAAGGCTAGGACTATAACAGAGTTTAAAGAGAAGCTAGATAATTTCATGGAGGTTAGGTCCATAAAAGACTTTTAGCTAGGGGGTAGGAATGGTGTCCCTGGCCTCTGTTTGTCAGAGTCTGGATATGGATGGCAGGAGACAAATCACTTGATCATTGTCTACGGTCCACCCCCTCTGGGGCCCCTGGTGGTGGCCGCTGTCGGACCTTTGGTCTGACCCAGTACAGCCATTCTTATGTTCTTATGTTTCCGAGAATGAAATGCCAGCCCTGTCCAAAAGCAAAGTTCAGCTTCCAGGCCACTGTGAGATTTTGACCTCGTGTCCAGCCGGGTGACTGGATCCAGTGTCTTTAAGGGGGCTACTTCTGACATGATAATCGTTTACATTGTAGGTAAAAAAGACGACACGGGCGTGAAGGGAACAGACGGACTACCCTCCACTAAGGCTTCTGAGTGGGTGAGCATGCTTGATCTTAGCATCAAGAAAGTCCGGGGGAATTGAAATTCACTGCCGCATATTTTTGTTTTTAGCTGGATGCCTAGTCGGATTTTTTTAAAAAATTTGATTAAGACTGTCAAGAGTTTTGTTAAATAGGATAAGAGTTTGTAGGTTTCTGATAGCGAGACGGACTACCCTCCACTAAGGCTTCTGAGTGGGTGAGCATGCTTGATCTTAGCATCAAGAAAGTCCGGGGGAATTGAAATTCACTGCCGCATATTTTTGTTTTTAGCTGGATGCCTAGTCGGATTTTTTTAAAAAATTTGATTAAGACTGTCAAGAGTTTTGTTAAATAGGATAAGAGTTTGTAGGTTTCTGATAGCGAAACAG